TTCAATGATATAAATAATGTGTGCAATAAAGCACTCTCCACATGAATTTACAGTTGTGTAACCTTGCTAGGTTTCCATCCATGCTGATTCACAAAATGTGCAAAACAGAACAGGTGGGAGCTAGTCAAGGTTGGGCAGTAATGGCAAGAACCCTCCATGACCTACCCATGACTGACCTAATGGCCCTAACCCTACCCACCCACACATTACCATAAGGCTGAAAAGTGTGAGGGGAGCCTAGACCTGCCTGTTCCTTCCTGCTCTCAAAAGACAGAAGGAACAGCCTGGCCTGGCTTTACCCTCAGATGAACGGGTTGCAAACCTGGAACCACTTGGCATGTCTGAGGGCGGCAAGAGCGTCCAGACATTTCTGCTTGTCGAGCACATCTGGAGGATCCTTGGCGGCGGTCACCTGGGAGTCTAAAATACAACAACACAGCTTCCGTCACACACCCGCGCCACAACCCACCCGCAGCGTCCTCCCCCCCACCACCACCACCTCTGCCTGCACATGTAGACATCAGAGCAGCCAAATACCATGGTAAAAATTGGCAAAAGACTAATATCATGCTCTTGTTTTAATAACAGAGCCACAAAAATAATAAAAGCAAAAATAAATAAATAAAAAACATATATATACATATTCTATCACTCATATTTTTATATTGGAAATTTATTATTCAATGCATTTTTAATCATGATATGCCAGCTAAGACTGCACTAGATCTGTGTTCCCAGGGGTGGTGGAGATTGGGTCAGGTGTGGCCAATGGGCAACTCTTCCCCTCTGCAGTACAAGAGAGCCACAATGTTCATGCCTGGTCTCAAAGGCACAGACTTAACTGAAAAGTATGGCACAGTTTAGAATGAGTTCAAAACTGGCTGTAAAGGAACTTTTTAGAAAAGTAATTCTCTTGTCCAGTGTCTCTTTATGTGGCCCTTTTCTTCATATTCTCTGATAATGACCATCAAGACAGAGAGGGGAAAGTTATCATTTAGTGAACCAGGGGCCAGCAATGGTTGATTTATATATATATAAAAAAAAAAAATTGATCTCCCACACTTTGGTCACAAAACAGGGCCCACTAAGGTGTCTTACCAGCATGTTGCTTTCACTGTGTCCCCTGGTCTCTATGTTAAGCAGTATAAAGAGGCCAGTCTTTGCAGCATTTTCATCACAAAATGAGACCTGCATAATTGCATTGTGAAATTTACTTTCTTTAGTAATATGTGATGAAAACCTTGACTTCCCCTGGTTAGACAAGTCTTTCAATGAATAATGAGTTATATTCTGTCAAGCTGAATGAGAGGACAGGAAAAAGGGAAACTGACAAATAAAGTTAGAAAGAGGAGTGACAAATAATAAGTATGTCAACAAGATCAATACCAGTAAGAAAATAATAAAAATAAAAAAATAATAATGAACTTCTGAATCTGAGATAAAATAAAACAAGTGAAAAACAAAAATAATAATAATAATAATAATAATAATAATAACTGGCTCATCAACAAACTCATCAAGATACAGAGTAATAAACTCAATCCATGTGAAAGACTTTCTTCTTAACCTGTCACTGTAGACAACCAGGCTGCAGTAAAGCCTGTCTGTGTTACCTCCTTCATGTAGCAGCTGTTCCCTCATGATTGGAGATGTAAGCGTCACATTTACTGAGATCCGCTGGTCACCAATGTTTTGGACAACCAAAGCTGCTTCCTCAACTACTCTCTCTGGATGTCATATTTGTCTTCTGGTGCCACTATGGTACATACAAGTAAGAGTTTTAGTCATTTTTATCTTAAACACCTAGATATGCAAGTTTACATAAAATTAAATGAAATTGAAAAGACAGCAGTCTAGAATAGGAAAATTTAACCAAGAGACGGCAAACTGTGGCAAAGAAAAAATAATTATAAAATAATAATAATAATAAAGTCAAGAAAGAAAGAAAAAATAAATAAATAAATAAAATAAGTTCACTTATTAAACTCTCATATTATAGTTAAATATTGAAGAGAGGCCAAGAAACAAAAACAGACACAAGACAGCAAACGGGTAAAGAAAGTAATATGTCTCAAGTATTAACCTTTTGTGAAAAAATCAAATAAAATTCAAACAGAACTTATAAAGATGTTTCTTTCATATCATTTACCTTACAAATTAATTCCTATGCATTATCAAGCTGTAATATGACTTAGACCTATTTGACTGCTCAAAAATAATAAACATTCTAAAGGAAATAAATCTTTGTCCCCTTAAAAGGAAAATCTTTGTCCCCTTACAAAGGAAAGTTCATTTCAGGAATTTTCCCTTATGAAAACAAAAAATTAAATTAAATGTATAACTAATTTTTCAAAACAACAAAAATTAACCATGTACAAAATAAAGAAATTATGGGAAACAAACAATGAAAAAAGGAGGGGAGGAATATGGTTCAAAATGAATAGCAAATGATTTAAAGAGGTACAAAAATGGCATCTAATAACAAAAAAAAGGGACCTCTAAATATAGGCATATACATAGCATACATCTACATTCACACCTGATATTTCAACTGAACTTCCAAAGCACTACCACTGGCTCCAGAAAAACCTACCGCTAATTGTTTAGGGAGGTTATCCGCAACTCTGTCCAACAAAGTCCGCGTAGGTTTGTCTCCACAGAGCACCACCAGCTGCACACTTGTATCACACGGAGTAGAAGACCTTTAGCCAGAATACCTACTCTCATTACACCCTTCAACATTCGGGGTGGACCATCCTCTTTCTTCTCCCTGTATTTGTTAGATTAATTGGTGAATTCTCTTGCAATATTATGAAGTATATCCTTCAGTGATGTTTTTATACATGAAATATGTGGAACAACAGATAAAAAGAGGACAAGTAAATATGGAAATAAGAACTGCCACTTGCATCAAGAAATATCCTTAATGAGACTTACCCATCTTTCTTATCTTCTCCTTCCTTTGCTTCTTCCTCCTTTTCCTTCTCTTTCTTTATCTTTGGCTTAACCTGTTGCTCTTTTGGCGCATCAACCTCTGCTAGGTAATCAGACACCATTTTCAAAGCCTTTTCTGTATTCGATACTATCTTCTGAATAGCTCCTAGTTCTTCTTCCTTGGGGTATATATCTGCATGCTTGGCCAACACATGTCTGTCATCACTTGAGTCAGGTCTACGCATTGGCTGTATGGAGAAAGGATGCATTATTCCTTAGATTAAAAAGAGGTTCCAAACCCACTTGTATAAACTATATTTGATCCAGGTCCTATTTATAGCACAATAATCAAAAATGAGTGCCTCACCATCATGGGAGGCATAGGCATGAAGGGAGGTCTGGGCATGCCAGGGGGCATCATGGGTGGTGGGCCAGGGGGGCCACGGGGATACCTGCGGCACCAGTCCAGGTACTCGCACTCCTCTTCATATCTCCTCCTCTCTTCCCAGTACCATCTTTCCTCCTCTTCCAGTAGTCTCTCTTCCTCACGACGCCTCCACATCTCCTCGCGCAGCTGGTGTGAACCAGGCTATTTACAAGCAACGCTTACACTTAACTTAATAAAGCACAGTATCATGCTCACAAAGAGAATAGAGAAAAAAATAAAAATAAAAATAAAAATAAATGATAGAAAGAAAAGAAAAGAAAATGAAAAGAAAAAATAAAATAATGAAAAAATAAATGCAGGATGCCCAGTAAGAATTTCTTGCTTTAGAGTTCGACAAAAGAGGAGACAGTAATACTGCCAAAACGAGAACGTGAAACATGATACACTTCATGCAACATTGAGAACAGCCTTTTAACTTTAAGAAAATTGTTTTCCTAAAGAATGAAATGAAAATAACTTTCCTACTCATGCTCCCCTAAATAAAAAAAAAAAAAAGAGCATCCACATTACAAAATACAACTCGGCCAGCTACGAGACAATAGAAGCAAAGATTTAAAATATTTACAACTTAAAAATTCAATAAAAATGACAAAAAATACTAATTACCTACAATAAAAATACATGTGCTCTTCTAGGATAACATCCCAAAACTACATCATAAAAATTCTTAAAATATAATATAAACATATTTCATGCCATGTATTCACTAACTACAAAGGCAATGCAGGAACATTAGCAACTATTCAATACCTTCAAAAGGCTCTTAGACTTGAACAAATCAATTTCAATCGCATTGATGTTTACTTTCATTACTTTTTTTTTTTTCTTTCTTTTTTAATAGCCCACTCAAAAGGCTAAGATGATTCAAGAGAAAACTTCAGGAGTGGAATTACAGGCAAGGGGAACTGATATTTGCATTCAAGTATACAATAGGAGATGGGCTCATTAACCTATATATCAAATGACCAAGTGAATTAGCTCACCTGCTGTCGCCGAAGTTTCTCCTCTTGTAGTTTGCGTTGACGTAATGATGGTTTTACCTCTACAACTAGCTCAGGATTAACCTTCTTCTTGTACTGCAATCTGTGTCGGCGACCTTCATGTGCATCTCTTTGGCGTTGGGGTCATTAAATCGGCATTCACAAAGCTTACAGTTAAAGCTGATCACTTTACCTGTAAACAACATATGCACTATTAAAAGTTTCTGCAAAGATGATTTATGATTTATTCTGAATAAACAAAACTGCATTTGTTTATAATCTTTTTGCATTGTCTTACCTTCCTCATTCTTGATTTCTTCAATATATTCCTGACCAACAGGTTCTACATCCTTCTCCTTCAGATCAAGTAAATCATCCTTGAGATCATCCTTCTTCCCATCTGCAGTTGTGAGAACACCAGTGGTAGATGCAGTGCCACCGCTAGTAGTCGTTTTAGCACCTACTGTTGAGCCAGCTGTGGTAGTTGAGGTTTTTGTGGTACCTCCAACCACAACTGGATCAGTTGAGGGAATTGGTTTACCCAACTTCTGGTGCAATTTCACAACCTAGAATGCAAATCAGAAACAATTAGTAATAATCCCCCTTTCACAAATGCTGACACTGCTGTGTAAATTCAGACATCACTACAATTACCCTTTAGTGTTCTCTTACCTTCTGATGCTTAGCACCACGAATATGAGCAGCATAGGCATCAGCCCCTGTGCAAGTGACATCACAAAGTTCGCAGCGGAGGGATGCCCGTGGCGTGAGGGAGTTGGCCCTGCCTTGGCTGCCGCTTCCTTTTTCTTGTGCTTTTGACCTTCTAAGTGCTCCCTGTAGGTCTGAGGCCCAGCACAACTTATTTTACAAACATCACAGTAATGCAGTTGCTGAGGTTTTGGGGGTGCCTTGGCTTCTGGGTCTTGCCCTGAACTGTACTGGCCTTCTTGAAAGTTTGCCAAGTGTTGGCAGCTGGCTTAACAGCAGCAGCTGCAGCAGCAGGCTGTGTAGTCTGCTGCATGTATAGTGTGGCAGCTGAAATAATGTTGATGATATTAAATATTACTGTAAGTATACTAATTTTTTTCAAACCTAACAGATCTATATTGAAAGCATTACTACTTATTAATGATCCAATGTTTGTGTAAACCATGTGTCTATTTATCAGAATAACTAAAAAAAAAACTTGACAAGAGAAATACATTTTCATCAGCTCTTAAGAAAAGAATCTACTATTTATGTACTTTAATATAATCATAAATTAACTACAGTGGTAACTTAACATAAGTCTAAATTCTATGCTTTTGTCTCAGGTCACATAAATTTGCCTTGTGCAGTTATGGTACATGCTGAAAGTTATGAGAGCATTAGCTGGAAAGGGACTGTACTGTACTGCCAGAAGGAAAATGCACTTTAACTAGTCATATTAGCAAAGGCAATCATTCTCCACAGAAAAACTTGTATCAAAACAAATCCTTCTGACCAAATTGCAATCATTCTAAAATAAGCTTTAGCTATGCATTTGTTTATGTACTGTATAGTATTACTATCTGTATCATATATCCTGGTTACTTATGAAGTGTACTTCTCTCATCCAGAGAGGCACACTCACATATATATATATATATATATATATATATATAATATATATATATATATATATATATATATACATATTATATATAATATATAATATATATATATATATATATATAATATATAATATATATATACATATATATATATATACATATAATATATATAATATATATATAATATATATCTACATATATACATATATAATATATATCTACATATATACATTATATATATATATACTATAATATATATATATAAAAATATAATATATATAATATATACATAAAATATATATATACATAAAATATATATATAATATATATATATATATATACATTTATAATATATATATAATAATATATAATATATAAATATATATAATATATATATATATAAAAAAAATATATACATATAATAATATATATATACAATTATAATATATAATATAAAATATATATATTATATATTATATATAATAATATATATTTTAATATATTATATAAATTATAAATAAATATATTATAATATATATAATATATATAATATATATAATAATTATATATTATATTATATAAAGGATTAATCCTTGGCAAAGATGCTATAGCATTCTACCTTAGCATATAAATTCAGCATTTTGAACATTTTAACTATCTCCTAATCATTTAAATTACCAAAATATATTTGCTTTTCCTGGAAATACACAACAGAACTAAGTAGTGACACAATGTGATGTTTGGGAAATAGCATGAAAGATGGAAGCTTGCACAATGGGTATAGAAGGAAAGTTTAAAGGGCCTTATGGCACACAGCAATGGTTCTGCACACACACATCTTCATCTTATTTGGACTTTGTAAATAAATAAATACAAAATAGTGCCATCTGAATGTAATTTGTTAATGTATTTTTTTTAAATAATGTTAAGGAAAATGTATGAGTACATACCAAAGGAGAATCAAGGTTCCCATGAGAAAGATACAGACAGATTAAACTTACAGCAGCAGAGAGTTCAAAGTAGAAGAGGATGTACAAAGGAGTGTGTTCTTGGTGGCAGAGGCTGTTGTGATAGAAGAGATTTCAAGGTGGCAAGGAGAGTAAAAACAAAATAAAAAAAAACAAAAACAAAACAAAAGCTACTGTTTGATGAAAGGCAGTGTGTAGTGCTTAAAAGGTTGGATGGGGTGGGGAAGGTGAAAGAAAGAAAACAGGAAAGTTTGTTATCAAATGCAGAATGAGGTCTTAAAGCCTATGACTGTCACTATTCTAAGGGTGGGAATGGTTAATTCTATGTCATGTATGAAAAATATCAAAACATGTGCAAGGAAGCCTCGGAATTTATCAGATTTTGTGAATACACTTGACTGGGGTATGAGCATTTCTACTCATTTTTTTTTTCACTTTTGCTGTTCTGACCTACTATTTGTATTGATGGATGACTCACTTCTCCATTTCTTTTTATTCTATGATAAAAAAAAAAGAAAAAAAAAGAAAAAAAAAAAAAAAAGAAAAGAAAAAATGATATAAATGATATATAATGAAAGATTATATGCTCTTCAACCCTGCTATATATCACCAAAAGCACAAGTTCTCTCTTTTTTGATTTCGTATCTAACCCTCACATACCTTAAACATAATAACCATACGATTTCCACTCATTACAAATATGATTGGAACTGTCTGATCAAAGTCCTCAAAATTGGGCATAAAACCTAGCCACGACAAGTTATGGTACAAAATTTCGAACCTAAAATGACACAAAATAAGAACAAAAATTGTATTATGCAATGATCTCTGTGAACCTAACTTTACATCTAACGAGTAGTAGATACTAAATGAAAAATCTAGTACCTTCGTAAGACCCTCGGGTACGTAGGTCATGGCCATCCGGTACGTAGGTCATTGCGACGACGAAGCGAGGCCCGGGACATCTGCTGTTTACTATTTGAACCAAGGATCGAGGCGTCTTGTCAGAGGTGTAATAATTCCATCAAGTACACTAAAATCCATTGAGTAATTCCAATACATTTTTTTTATTTTATTTTTATTTATTTTTTATTATAGGAGAGAGAATGCAAGTTAACTACATACACCCTGCTTTTTAATGAACCCTTTTTTTTTTGTAAACAAGCTACAGAAAAAAAAAGAAAAAGAAAATACATATACATAATCATTTCTGGGGCAACAAAATGGAATACTTTTATTTTGTTCAATTCACGACGATTGACGAGACTCACTCACTCTCTCTTTCTCTCTCTCTCTCTCTCTCTCTCTCTTTGGTCTTCAGATTTCTAAGTGATTCCACCACGCCTAACCTCAACTTAGGACTGCTGATCAAGTTATCAACGACGCAACTTATACTAATATAACACTTTTGGGCACTTAAGTTCCCTATTGACATGCATTATACACTTTGCTTTTAGTCTTGAGAGAAAATAATAATAATAATAATAATAATAATAAATCATAATAGTAATATCTTTCTGGAACTGAGCAAATAATTCCGAGGACTCCTGAAAAGGTACTTCGGTGGTGTCTAAGAAGCTGGGAATAAGGTAACAGGATTCTCACCAGAGAACTTAAAGGGGTGGAGGGAAAAGCTTTGTTACAAAGAGAAAGATGGGTGAGAGGAGTGAGAAAAAGAGATATAAAGGAGGGGAGGAGACATGTGCTGTGTCTAGAAACACTTAAACAAATTATGGGAGAGGAATAATAAAGAAGTTAATCATACTAATTCAAGTAACTCAATCCATAGATGTCAAATGAAAGAAATATTAAATAGAGAAATATACATTTAAAGAAAGCTCAAACAACAAATTAAGTAATATGAGCACAAACAAAAAAATTAACTAATATAATCGAGAAAATGGTTATTTGCAGACACAAAGGCAAAAGATTTCTTGATCCACTACTACAAGGGTTAACATAAAATTGGTAAAATGTACCATTAAAACTCAGGACTTATTTAGAAGTGTCTCAGGTTAGAGCAGAGGCAAGAAGAGTTAGTTCTCTAGTGATGGGACTTGGGACTGAACACAATCATAAGGAATAAACAATATTAAAACAACTCCAAACACTTATATAGTCTCAGTGAAAAAAGAAAGATACGTTATTAACAAAAATAAATATCTTAAAATGTCCATATAAAAGCAATTTATTTAAGTTGGTATGTGCGAGCACACGTGTATATGTCTGGGTGTCTGTGCATGCATGATCATCTACGTATATATGGTAGTTATATAAATGTGTATACATGTATCTAAATGAATATCATATATCTATATTATCAAATGCATACACAAAACCACCTAATAACCAGCACAATGCTTTTCTTCTTCAAAATGAGTACCAAGTAGGTCTTATCTCAAAATATATTACAAAAGGTGATATAAATTATGAGCAGTGCCAATCATATTGGAAGATTCCAATTCTCAAAAATATTCACTGTACTGCGATCTTTCTTGTCTTCTAACAGCAGTATACTAGATACAATCATATAATTTCACTTGCAAGGGCGTTCTGATACATATATAACGCACTAGTGCTGGGTTGCTCCACTATCCAGAGTAGTTAATTTTGTGAACTTGATTTACACATAGATGGTTCCACAAGGTCTTCTCACCAAGTAGTTAATCAATGGGCTGACCTGACCTAATATTGTATGTCCATTCCTTGATTTTTTTCCTTAGGTAATTATTAGCATAACTGTTAATATAATCATTATTAATGTTGAGATTATTACCAAGTTATCACGAATATATTTTTTTTCTTAAGTAAAAAGGCAAACAGATGAGACAAAAAGACTAATAATTGACTCTTTGGCATCTAAGTTCTTGAGGAGCATGCAAGTGCTAGCAAAATTTATATTAAATCACAATGGACATGGCATGTATTTTGGCATCCTGGCATCAAGAGGTTAAAAAAAGATTTACATGTAAGATACAATCACTTCAGTCCCACTTATGGAAAAAAAAACATACAACTGTATTCTAATGGATATATAAATGTTTTTTTGTTTTTTTTTATGAAAGGCATGTGTAAGTGTTATGACATGGTTTGCATGTTGTCACACAAAATTTCTAGAATCAGATCTGCTGTTTAAAATAAAAAGAAAAATACCAACATATTTCCCTTCTTACTACAAAGACTTAGAGGATTGAAAAAAAGATAGATGGCAAAAGGAGAGAGAGAGAGAGAGAGAGA